CCCCCCCCCCCCCCCCCCGCCGCTCACGCTGCCCTTGCCCTTTCTCTTGCACGCCCGGAACGCGGACGGGCTCCTCCAGGCCCCCGGCAGTCGGAGTTTCCTCCCGGATCGCCCGCCCCCTCCCGCAGCCCCCAGCTCGGCGGCGCCCGGAGGAGAGCGTGGTCTCCGACCTCGCCGCCCGCGTGGTCACTGCCCCGAGCCACGCCGGTGGGGTCCCGGAGCAGGGCCTGGGGGCGCGGCGGTGCAGGCGCGGACACCCACCCGGTAGGGCAGCGAGGATGGCGGGCGGTGGAGGGAGGCACGAGGGATCCATTAGTCATGTCAGGACTCAGCAGGAAAAATTTAAAAGGAAAGAAAAAGTTGGCTTTCGAAGACTCGAGAATGCCTGGCTCGCAGAACAACCCTCCAGACACTCGGGGCGGGGGGACACACCGTAGAGGGACCCCAGCGGCCGAGCGCCTGTCCGTCTGTCTGGGTGGACAGCGGCAGCTGCTCCCCGGAGTGTCGCGGTCTCCGGGTCCCGTGGGATCCGCCGCCCCAGCCCCGCACGAGCTGGGGGAGTGCAGGTGCCTTTCGCTCCGGAACCCGTGGCTGACAGGACGTAGGTGGTTGAACTCGGGAACTCGGGGACCCTGTGCCTTTCGTTTATCTCCGGAGCAGGGTGGTGTGTCTCGGCCTGTGTTTTGGGCTGGGCTTAGTCATGTTGGAGCCTGCTGGGATCGCTTTCTGCTTCCACACTTTGGCGGCTCAACTTGACACAGCATTTGACAGCAGGGAAGGGACTTGTGCTTGGTGTCGTGTGTCCCCCGGGCTGGCCCGGAGGCCTGGTGGTGGTAGCCACCCCCCCCCCTCCGCCCAGCCTCTTCTTGCCTCTGCCCTCACTGCGTGGGGGGGCTGCTGGGGCTGTTTCTGCGCTCTGCTTTGGCTTTTGCTAAGGTGAGTTTTCACATGCAGGTGTTGATAGAAAACCTCTCTGGCCCGAAGCAGGTAGCACGGCCGGCTTTTAAGGAAACCCAGTAAAGATCAGGAAGAACAGGGTGAGGGGGTGGGTAGATTCCGTGTCCTCGGCAGCCTGGGGTCTCCAGGAGCCTGGGATGGGCAGAGGGGGAGCAGATTGGAGGCTCCGCTGGGCCCTGCTTTAATGATGTTTCCTTTGGGGGGAAAAAATAAAAGTTTGGGGACTGCTGCATTCTAGCCGTCTGAGAATGATACGAACAGACGGTGGCTAGGGGGGTTTCTGGGCTACTTTTGAAAGCCACTCCCTCAGTATAGGGTCTGGGGAGGGCAGTGGAACTGGACAGAAGAACAGGTTCCAGCCTCTCTGCCTTGGTTTTCTAGTTGAACCTCCCAGGGTCCTGAGCATGAAACCCCCTAATGCCTGTGACACTGATAGAGCCCTTGTTAACCAACCCCCCTGTTTTCTCGCCAGCCTCCTCCGGGCTCTGAAGAACACGTCCTCCAGGACTTTTCCCTTCTGCCAGGCAAAGCTCCTTTTCTCTCTGCCTTTCCCCCTTGTTTGCACAGTATCTTTGTTTCTCTGTGTAGGGTCTCATCCTCTCTGCTCCCCACCAAATTATGATGGAGAAATGGTACATGGCTGGCAAAGGGAAGACTCCTGGGCTCTTGTATCTTCCAACCAAAAGGAGCAAGTCCTATGTTCTGTGCTTTGGTGGGGGCTGGGCGGAGGCCAGAGCTTCTCTTCTTCCAGTGGTTCCTAGATTCTGTTGGCCAAACAGCCTCTGTCTTCCTATAAAAACTGCGAATAAAATGTTGTAAGGGGCCAATGCGTGACCAGTGGTAAATGGGGCAAAGTGTCATTGCAGACTTATTTCTTGCAGACCTATTGTGTGCTAGGCAATGGTCAGGTTGGAGAGAAATCCAACAGTCCTTGCTTTTGAGAGTCGACCTTTTGTTTGAGGCGAGAACTCAGTAATAGTGTTCCAGGAAGACTGCCTGGTGCCTAAAACCCGAGGCAGGGCCCCAGAAGGCAGTCGGGAGAGATGGAGAGCAAGTGTCTTCAAATGCAAGGAGCTCTGACAATCCTGGGAGCCTAGCGAGGAAAGACTTGGGGACTGTGGAGGGAGGACGTTCTGGTCAGCCAACCGAGACAACTGGGTGGTGGCAGACTGTGGTACAGAGAGGAGGGTATGTGGGAGCCACAGCTGGAGAGCTCTACCTGGGTCTGGTGGCAAGAGGCCGGCCCAGAGGAGCTGGCTAAGAAACAGGAGATTGGGAAGTGAACTGGTTTCCTCGTGACAGTTCAACCTGGGGGCGGAAGTGTCCTCACTCACTGCTTTCAGGTCCTGTCTCAGGGGTACCTTCTCAGGGTGGGCTTTTGTCTTACCCCAGTCTAGCCTGCAGCACCTCCAGTGGGTAAACACATTCCACGGGTTCAGGGATTGAGAGTGGTCATTTGAGAGAGTAGCTGATATTTGACCAAGATGTAGAGAAGATAATGCCAGGAAAGTGATCCAAGTAGAGAGATCGGCAAGTGCAAAGGCCCTGAGGCATAAGCCCTTTGGGCCTGATTTATAAGCTTCTCACAATTAGGGATAGTCACAACTTTACAGAAAACCTTAGCGGGAAGTCTGGTGGAGCAGAGGGTACTTGCTCCATTAACAGAAAGTACAGCTCACCGGTCCTGCCCACAGCAAGCTTCCTATGAGAAAAATGTCTCTAAAGGCTTTGTAAGGATTTCTGGGTACATTTGTTGAACTAATTGTCTCCCGTCAGTTGAGAAGACAGTTCTGCCTGAGCTGACAGATGTTTCATCTGGTTTGAGTAACTAAGGCTCAGATGTGTCTTGTTTAAGAAAATGTGTTCTTTCCTGGCTCCTGAGATGGGTGGGATCTTGGATGTGGCTCAGCATCCAATTTTCTTCTAAAATATTTATTGCTCTAAAAGGATTGCATGATTTAATATGCAACATGTAAATATTTGTCAGACACTTCTCTCCAGTAACATTCAAAGTGTGCTCTGGCTGTCGTTTAGATTTACCGTCGTTTTGTTCCTTCTGACTTGGGGACGGTGAAAGCTGCCATGATTCTTTTTCTTAATTCTTCTCTTCCTGTTATTATCTCCCGAGATTCCCCTTGATGGCCGTGACAGCTCTGGAGACAGGACTGAAACCAAAAGGACGCATTTGTGCTGCTTCCACTGTTGTAGAAAGGCAGTTCGAATGTCAGACAGCTCTTGAACCAAACTAGGTCCAATTACGCTAAATTTAAAATATTGCCCTTCTTTCTTGATGTTGTTCTTCTCGTGCATGGTTAAGTTCCAGGGGCCCCGCCCCCCCGGGTGCTCTCTAGGCTCAGCCCAAGCCCACGCCACACACCCAGCTTGGGGGTGTCTCTCTTTACTTGTGGGGGGTGGCGCTTTATGTTTTATAGATTTGTAGCAGTGACCGTGACCTTTATCCTGACACACACAAGAAAAAAAAATTGGTGTTTGGTGTTTGTTTTTGTTTTTTCGAATGCCCCAGGAGGGCTGATAAACCTTGGAATCCCCTTTCCCTAAAATGAGAAATCAGATTGTTGGGAATCCACACCCAGCCAGCCCTTTGCCTTCCCCCAGGCCTCAGGCTTCGAGCACTGTGTGTACTTAGAATGGGGCTAGAAGTAGTGATCGGAAGTGAATTCTGGTCTCCGTAGATCTGAGGGCGATCAAGCCTGGGGAGCTTATGGGCAGGGAGCTTGACTCCGCTACTTGGGGATGTATGTTAGTGTGTTATTTCTGATGTGTTGGCGAGGGATGAGGAAGGGAGAATGAGCGGATTAGATGGGAGCCCAGGGGGCGGGAGTGGAGAAGGTGGTCAACGGAAGCCCAAGCTGATAGGCCAGGTGACAGATGTCTGTCTGCTTCTTCCTCCCCATGGACCATGGGTGGGGCGTGGGGGGCGGTGGGCGTAGGAGCATCCCTCTGGGCCCAGCAGCGGTAGAGAGGCCCATGCATTTTTTTTTTTAAAGGACTTAATTTTTAAAAAATATTTTATTTATTTATTTGACAGAGATCACAAGTAGGCAGAGAGGCAGGTAGGCATAGAGAAAGAGGGGGGAAGCAGGCTCCCTGCTGAGCAGAGAGCCCGATGCGGGCCTGATCCCAGGACCCTGAGATCATGACCTGAGCCGAAGGTAGAGGCTTAACCCACTGAGCCACCCAGGTGCCCTAAAGGCCTTAATTTTTTAAGGACAGTTTGAGATTCACAGCAAAGTGGAGAGTAACGTACAGAGATTCCTATCTACCTCCTGCCCCACAGGTGCACAGGCTCCCCCGTGGCCCGCATATGCAAGCAGAGTTGTGCATTTGCTGTCGCTGATGAGCCCACATGGACACATTATTCCCCCGTGTCCATGGTTTATGCTCGTGTTCACTCTTGGTCTTGGACATCGTGTGGGTTTGGACAGGTGTTAGTGACGTGTGT